GGCTACCTTTGAATTTTTCACAATTGAAGAACTTGATCTTACAACTAAAAACTTTTTCGCCCTTTAGTGCCTTGAGTAGAAAACCTTAGAATTGCAAAAATATCCTTCACAACTGAAAAAAATGGACCAGGCCCAAAATACTGTACTGTATCAACACTTATACTACTATGAATAATAATCTTTCTGATATGAATCAAAGCTCGCTCCTTATAAATATTTGCTTTATCCATACTTCTTGTTTTACTTTGGGTGTGATAAATAAATCGTAGCAGTTCCAAGACGGGGCATCTTCTCCATACCTCAAATGGGGGCAATTGATTCTATTTGATGTTAAAAAAATATATGACATGTTTAATTCAGTTGATAAAAAATAATTCTAAATTTATCATTTGGTAATTTTGACTCCATGAGTCATAATAAATGGTAATTTTGCGTATGTGGGTCATAATGAAAGATGATTTCGGTTGATAGTTATATTGATAATTTTGACCCTTTCAGACATTATTTTGTTTATTTGTTGACCCCACTATCAGAATATTCTAGCTCTATCCTTGGTTCCAAGTGTTGCATGATACTGGCAATCATATAATAACATGTATATTGTCCTTGACTTTTTTTGAAGATAATAACTTGTATTGTCCACACGTCAAGTGGGATACCGTCCATGAACAGGAGAAGAAATTTTCATAAGGAGCAGAAGAAAAATCTGTCAGGTGCCCTAACTCGTGGAATCTTAAATAGCGGGACAAAAACCAAAGGCCAAGTATCTCTGACCCTATGCAGCAGCCTGAAGAGCTTTCGTCTCTCTTTCTTCGAATCACCAGGAACATATCTAGAAGAATAAGGGCAATAACCCTAAGCTTCAACAGCTTATGGCAGACTTCCACAGCTGACAGGACCTTGGGCAACATAGCAGGAGACGACTGGGAGATTCCTTATCCTTCTTAAAAGAGAACATCTACTAACCAGCATTTTTCCTGTCTCTTTCTCTCTTCCTCTCTCTCTCTATATAAAAACATTACCCCTAGTTAAAATCTGTTCCCAGCCTGCTTCCAAACAAATAGAGGCAACATGGTGCAGGTGGGGGACACTTCCAAAATTTTCTTACAGGCAAAGTTCAATCTTTCTTAAACTAGGATGGCTAGCTTTCAGAACTGTGTGGTAGACAGTATGATTTCACCTTACAGATTCCATCCTTCTTACCTTTGATTTGTTTCTTTCATGGTAATCCAATATAACCATTGACATGGCATAATGCTCTGGTGTTATGTATAAAATTTATCATTCTATGCAACTGGTTGATCCCGGCTTAGAAAAAAGGGCAGAGATCGTATACATGAATCCAGGCACAAACTTCGTCTTTGTTTAAGGAAAATAGCAAATGACAGAATATGTCATTTACTTAGAGGGTCATGTACTTTTTCATCTGTGTTATTATGCTATAATTTATGTTTTTATTGCTGTATTGTTATATTTATCTATTCAAAATGGCTTTTTGGTTTGTACTCGCTTGATCCAGATTTTACTCAATGGTAATAACATTCTTCTTTTGTGAAGACAATTTTCTTTGGGACATAATTACTTATGATGAAAAATGGTGACTTGATGCTCTTAGTTTAGTTTGAAAATCTTGTTGCTGGATTTTGTTTATTCATCATAGGGGCTCTAAATTATCCTTCTATTGCAGAAAGAGGTTGCTCTATATACTGCTTCTAAGGCTAACAGTGAATTTTGCTGGTTTGATATTGATGGAGATTTAGATCCTCTTTTCAAGGTAATACTTAGCAAATACTATATTTTCTTTTGATTTTTACTTTTTCAGCTTGATACTATATATTGCTTAAGGAAGCTTTCATTTTGAGTCGACAAAAAGAAAGGGGAAAAAGAAAACAAGATGTTAATAGACTATGATATTTTAATTTTTACAAGTTATGGGAAACCAATTCAGTAGTCCTTAAGATATTATGTGAACTTATGCTATATATGGAAGCTAAGAGAACAGGGATAAGTGTGTGATGCCAAAAGCTAAGTAACTTGGAAACTGACCCTTCATTTTAGTTTAATGATATTTAGCCATGAAGTAAAGGTACTATGCTAAACATATAATGAAAGCAAAATGACTTCATATTGAGTATGTCCTTGTGCTAGAGGCTTTGTTTACCTTTCATTTGTTAACAAACAATCACTGAGAGTTTTTTTTGGGAAATTCCAGGAATACTGGTGCAAAAGGTTGCATCCCAAGAATGTATGTGAAAAGGTTTACAGACAGCCTCATCTACGTGATTCTCTGAAGAAGGGTAAGCTTAAAAAGCAAGATTTTGCTGTTACCAAGCAGAAGACAGCTCTTGTCCTGGCTGCTGACTTGATTGGGAAAAAGATCCAATATGATTGTCCTGGTTTCTTACCCAACAAACGTCAGGTGATTCATTTATTGCAATGACTTCAATATTTCTGTTCTTCCTGTGGTTTTTTACTTTTCTTTGGATATTCTGTTTTCTCTCCTCTCTACTTATTTAAATAATAATTTTTTTCTGATCATTTAATCTGTCATGCTAAACATTTTCCATTTTCTAACTCTACTTATGATTGTTCCTTTACTGGGAAAATTCTGCTAACCTCCTAAAGATTTAGGAAAAATAAACTCTTTTCCATCTTGTCTTTTGGAAAACTAGGACTTCAAAGATATTTTTTAATTGTTAGTTTTTTTAATTTGCACATGTTTATGCAAAAGCAGTATGACAGGATCATTATCTGTAATAGTAGCTGGTATGAATGAAAATAGTTTCTAGAAAACATTAAAGATATTTTTCGTAATTCATTTCAAATTCATGTCACATTTGTCTATCATTTTCTGGAAGTTTGTTTTTATTTTCAACTGCCACACATTCTGTACATAAACATATACAAATTAGGAAATGAAGACTAGAAAATGTTTTCATTTGCCAAAGGGAGCCTATTTTTTTGTCATTTAATCCTGTTTTACTAAATAGAACAATGTTAGATAACATTTGAACAGGTGAAACAATAAAAATTGTAAAATATATTTTTTCCAAACTTAATAACTATTGGTTTCAACTGAAAGAAAGAAGTATAAAAAAATTTATAATCCATGATGATGTAGGACAGAGACGGCTTGAGCATGATACTTCCAAGGACATCTATAAGAACTAAAGTTAGATATCTAGGATCTTGACAATCAAATCTGTAACTCAGTATTTGTATAATAGTCATATGGACCAAATAATTGGCTTATGATACCCAATTTATAGGTACTATATTACATTCAAAATAGAAATTCTTGAGTCTATGCAGGAGTTTTACTAAATAGGAAAATAAACTAATTGATTAGAATAACCTATAATAGATAACTAAATTAGATCCTAAGTAAGTAGGAAAAGTAATAAACTTATACCATTCATAAGATTATAGATTTTAGTTGCTAAATAAGCTAAATATTTTAGTAATATTTTAACATAGCAATTACATAAAAATGTATCTTATTATCAAAATATGTCCACTTTAGTATCTTTTTGTTCTGCATCACATGAATAAACATTTAGACTCTGCATTCATTTACTTCTTGTTAAGAATAAAAAACCCATAATATTATCCAGAAGGCACCATGGAACTGCCACCTGTGTATGAAGGATGATGTATATTAGATAGAAGACTAAGGATCAATGAGGTCGCCTAGCTCTTTCTCATTGGTATAGGCTAGCCATAAAGCCTGTCAAAGGGTGAAGTAGAGCAAGCTTTTGATTGTTTTTACTTGTAATTTGATTCTGAATCTGAATACAGCTTTTTGATTTTATCATCTTCTTCACCTAGTACAGCTTGAATTTATTATTATTTTAATATTTAACAGAAAATAAAGACTGTCATTTATGGTTATGGAGGAGCATTCTTTTCCTTTTCCATTATTTTTCCTAATATGCTTCGTGACTAATGATTTCGACTGAAGGAAGCAGAAAGCTATAGTTTAGAAATTATGATAAGATAGAGCTTGCAATTAATTCTTTTTCATGAAAAGAAAAAGACAAAATAAAGCATGCAATTGGATTCCCCTTCAAACTGTTGTATTCTCCTTCTCTCTCGCAATCTCCCTATCTAAGTTCAAGTTGCTAGTTCAACTCAACTTGAAGTTAGGGATTTTAGTTCCTTCAACAGATCTG